ATAATTGAGCCTGGAAGTTACAAAAACATATGATTCTATAGCTAGTTTTGTCTCTGATAGGATTGGATACAGTCTTCCAGACTAAGGATGTTAAAATGTGATTATCTGGCTAATCGTATAGTCGATACAATTTGTATTGACTATACAATTAGTTGATAAGCACTGCTCTGCAGAGCTAGCTTTAGGAGGTGACTGGAGCAGGGACTAAGCAGTCCTGTCTTGTGCCAGCTCCGGAGCCCTCCAGCTTCTGCCCTCCTCCTTTTGCTGCCTCTCTCTGATAGAGGCAGCAAGTGTGGGGGGATGTGGCTTTGAGTCTCTACTCTACTATCCAATAAGCATTTGCTTATCGGATAGTCGACTAGTCGCTTACATCCCTGTTCCAGAGAGCCTCTTTTTACTCTCTGCTTGCTTCTTCTTTCACATGAGAAACATCCTACCTCCCTCCCTTCAGGGCACCCTGATCCCGCCTTCCTAATGGGGCAGCTGCTGGTGGGCCTGGTGCCCTCACAAGTAGGCAGGGCTTGAACCCACAACCCTGGGTCCCCAGGCCAATGCCCTATCCCACTACCCTTTCAGTGGTGTCATCTCTCAAAACACTGTGTCAGATTTAGGAATGTGGATGTGGGGCATGTGTGCACATGCCCTTTACACACTTCTGGACAAGTTAAACCAATGAAGATTATTAAATTGGGGTTGATCAGCTGATCAGTTGACTGCTCCATTGACAGACTATTATTTGACTACATATAGATATTTCAGCAAGAATTCCCCGATTATAGGTGGCAGCCTGCTTTTTTGATTGTATGATGGTGCCGTTCTTCCATTTTATTAGCACTTTTTTCTGAGTTAAACTCAGTTAAGTAACCTGGTCTTTCTGGTTGAGCTAATTATCTATCTAAGGATAAGTCTTTATGGCAGGGGTGGGAAACCTTTTTTGGGCTGGGAGCTGCTGACCTACCAAGCAAAAACCCCAAACAAATCCTCATTGATGTGGCCACCATCTGAGAAGGAGAAAGACACCTCCACATTCCTCTCACACAACATAGACTAAGGGGACCCAGGATAGTAGATTTTGTGTGCTCTAGCCATGTGGTGGTGGTGGGGTGCAGCAGGGGACCAGACTACTAGCACGGGCTCCTCAATGCTGTCTTGGGGGTCAGATCCAGGCAAGCCAGGGGCTGCATCTGACTCCTAGGCCTTCGGTTCCCCACTCCTGCTTTATGGAAACAGTATGCTCTGACTTTCAATCTTACTGTTCTACTAAATTAATGGTTTAAAATATTTGATCCATAAACTTATCATTTATTTTTGGACTAGTCAAATGCCCAACTGTGGCTCCTCTTGGCTGCAAAGGGCAACCCAGAGCTAATGGGAGCTGCAAGCCTCTTTGGCTGCAGTGCCGGTAAAGTGGTTTTGCAGACCACTTTGTGAAACAGTGCTCTAAGGATATGCCTACACTGTATTGTAAACACAGACTCAGACTTGGTTTTAAGTCCAGACCCCCTGCCATCAACTAGCGATGTAAAGTCCCAGTTAATCATTTAGCTGGTTAAACCTTTAGGTTTAAGGTTAACTGATTAAACAGGATCCCCTCCATCCCCCGCATACAGGACTGCCAGCTGTTGCTGCTGGCCTCTGTGAGGGGGGGGATTAGCAGCGGGAGTCGGTAGCCCCATGTGTGGGGTGGGTGTGTAAGGACTGGGAGTAGAAACATTCCTCCCCTCCCCAGTGTGCAGGACGACTTCTAGACCCCGCACATGGGAAGGCCAGCTTCTGCTCCTACCCACCCCCTTGAATAGGGGCATGCCCAGCTCCTGACCGGGAGTGGACTGCTCCTGGGCACTGGATAGCTGATACTTGTGTAAGGGGACTGTTAGTCCCTTACTAAAACTCTGTGGGAGTTTTTGGTTCGCCAGCTCCCAGTGTCAAAAGGGGAAGGGTCCATGAGACTGACAGACCCCAGAGACAATGGAAAGCAGCCAACACTCCAGCTCGGCCTGATTGACAGGTTGGACAGGCCAGTGAGGAAAGTGAGAGGCCAGGCCCCATCCTCCCTGTGAGCTGGGATTTTTCTGGGTCTCTCTCTGAGCAAGGAGAGAGCTGAGAGACAGCTAAGAGGAGCAAGCTGTGTGGAGAAGCAGTCCTGCAGCAACAGAGCCAGGCACATACAGCCCAAGGAGTGCAAGCTGTGCTGAGGGGCAGTTTTGCAGCAACAGAGCCAGGCACACACAGCCCAAGGAGTGCAGACCCTGTGTTGAGCAGCAGACTGGCAGTGCTCAGAGAGCCAAAAGGGACAGAGAAGCAACGCAAGGAGCTGGAGACTGGCAAAGCAGCACAGCCTGCAGCTGGGTGTGGTGAGCAGCTGGGACCAGCAAAGTGCGGGGAGAGGCTCTGGGCAGGGAGATATCACCAGCCAAGAGGCCCAACAGGCCAGACTGGGAGAGGGGGCTGGCCCCTTGAGGCTGTGTGGTCACTGCCAGAGCAAGCGTGTCCAGCCTGCAGCCCCCCTGCAGCACATCCAGGGCCTCTAAGGGGCCTATAAGGAAGAGACTGTGGCCTGTCCTTATACTCTGCAGACTGCTGTTTTGATGTCCCTGTGCTGCAGAGCAGGGCTGTGTTCTCTCATTTAACCATTCTCATTTTTTTTTCTTATTCTTTTCTCTTTAATCAGTTGATGTTTAATAAATTGTATTTGCTTTGAACCTTATGAAATGATCACTGGGCCAAGAAAGCCTGCAGTGTGAAGAAAGCACCTCGGAGTGGGGGCACCCTAACTCCTGCCCCTAGTGACTACAAGGTCGGGGATTAAGCTCCAGGAAACCTGGGCCCAGCCTTGTTGGGGTTTTGAGGACTCTGCTACTCAGGAGAGTGGAGGGGGATCCCTCAGGATCAGGGAAGCCGTAGAGTAAAGGAAGTGGGAACGAGGACTCAGATCCTTTCACTGGTCCATTTCACCGTGGTGGTATAGAAGCCAGGAAAGTTCCCCACAATAGCGGGACCGTTCCCCCGCTTACTCTTGGTAAACATCACCCAGAAAGGGTGATGCTTACCAGGTAACTGGCTAAACTGTTGCCTATTCACATCCCTACCATCAACACATAAATCTGACTTGAGACAGCAATCATTCAGAGGCCCACTGAAATTCAAGTCTAAACCTTGTCATTTTGTGTTGTGGACATAGCTTGGCCTGCAGTCCTGAGTTAGAAAGTTTGCATAGTTCAGTATGAATGCATTAGCATGCTTGTGAGACTTGGCTTCCTATTGTAAACCCAGATTTACAGCGCAGTGTAGGTGCTCAAGTGTGAGTTTAGAAACACACAGTCCACAAGTATGGGTCCCACAGAACCAGGTTTAAAATGTAGTGTAGATATTCTCTAAGGTTCCAGAGAGGTCATCTATAATGAAAAAAGTCCAAAGAAAACAGAGATATATTGCCCAGGTTGAATTGTGGGATAGCATTGGAGAAATAGCAGTGCCTGGGCTTAATTAGGATGCATTCTCACAGTAAAAACATGTGGATTGTCAGCTCAGGCTGTAGCAAGCATGACCTCAAGCCTCCACCCTCAGGTGTGCCTAGGAATTTGATCTTCAAGCCACCCTCAAGCCCAGATTAGAGGTGTTTTCATGTGGATAGAAGAAGGCTTGGGGCAACATCCTGGGTAGGCCCAGCTAAACTCTTTTGAAAAAATATCTTCTAAGGCAAGGGTGGGGAACCTTTTTGGGGTTGGAGGCCGCTGACCTACAGAAAAATCAATCGGGGGCCACTCACAAGGGAAAAGCAAAAAATTCACAAACCCTCACTGGCGTGGCCCCCAGCTGAAGCAGAGAAAAACACCTTCATATACCCCTTGCCCACCAGATGGTAGGGGTGCCCAGCCTAGTAGATTTTGTGTGCTGCAGCTCTACAGTGGGGAGGCGGGTGGTGGTGATTTGGTGTGCCAGTGTGGGCTCCCCAGCACTAGGACTAGATGCAGGCAATCCAGGGCCAATCCATAGTTTCCACACCCCTTTTCTAAGGCATTGTCTTCACTGCAGAGTTAATCCAAAGTATAACTTGAGTGTTTCTCCTAGTTGAGTCCTATCCTCCCTGTCCTTACCTGAAGTGTGATGATTATTTTAACTGAAGTTGGTTGGTCTTTCAAGGGGACGTAGACTGCAGCTGACAAGCTGCTCTGACAAGCTGTTTACCTAGTGACTGTGCAACTTGAGTGTTGTTTTGCAGTGTTGAAAGGCTAACATGAATGAAGAAATCACATGCTATGCAAAGTGACTCTTCTGAAACCATGTTAGCTGTCTGTTGTAATTTAGGCCGCTCCTTCTTTACAAAATAGCTAGCTAACAGTGCTTCAGCCATGTCAGTCTGTGTCTTAGCATGATTGAAAAGCCCTTTTAATATTAATTAAATTGATTAAGCTAAGAAGATAGAAAAAAACCCACATCCTTTCCTTTTCAGTACGTACTCTGAAAATATTCTTGGGGGCTGTGTCTACATTGGCACCCTTTTCCGGAAAAGGGATGCTAATGAGACAAGTCGGAATTGCAAATGCCACGGGGATTTAAATTTTCCCCGCGGCATTTGTATGAACGTGGCTGCTGCTTTTTTCCGGCTCGGGGCTTTGCTGGAAAAAAGCACCAGTCTAGATGGGATCTTTCGGAAAATAAAGCCTTTTCCGGAAGATCGCTTATTCCTGATTTTAAGGGGAATAAGGGATCTTCCGGAAAAGGCTTTATTTTCCGAAAGATCCCGTCTAGACTGGCGCTTTTCTCCGGCAAAGCCCCGAGCCGGAAAAAAGCGGCAGCCACGTTCATGCAAATGCCGCGGGGAAAATTTAAATCCCCGTGGCATTTGCAATTCCGATTTGTCTCATTAGCATTCCTTTTCCGGAAAAGGGTGCCAATGTAGACACAGCCGGGTAGTTTCCTATAAATAGAAAACTAAAAATGTCAGTTTTGCGTAACAGGTTTTTTTTTTTTTTTAAAGTGTTAAACTAATGTCTTATTTTGCAGACACACTTGAAAACGGAATCATGGAACAATGTGAGTAAAATATTTCATTAATGTTGAATTAATGTCTTCTAATATTTCTTGAAAATAGTGTGGATCACTTACACAAGTCGAAACTAAACAGCTAAATTAACAGATTCACAAGATAGCTGTGTTAGTATTTAAGGTGCTAAGGGACTCCTCGTTGTTTTTAAAGTTACACACTAACACATACATTATATCATTTTGAGCTTTTATGGGTAAAACGCACTTTATCACGTGAGTTGGAGTGAAAATTACAGAATCCAGGATACATAGAACAGCAAAAGCATTACCTGTCAATTGTAGGACCAGTGTTTAATTAAATTAATTGAGTCAGGCTGGGTGTGTACTGTTAATAGCATTTTATGTGTAAAAGCAATTATCAAAGGTGGGGGTGCTTTTGTAGTGTGTTAACCAGTTAATACCTTTATTCAAGCCCACATTGATAGTGTCAAACTTGTAAATGAATTACATTATTCTAATGTAAATTAATTATAGTTATTATTACAGTACAAGTTGAACCTCTCTAGTCTGAAACCCTCGGGACCTGACTAGTTCCGAGCAAGAGAATTTTCTAGACCACGGGAGGTCAATATTGTCTAGCAGCATTACCTACACTTCCAATGCTTACTGTGCTGTTAGAGGACATTTAGGGGTAATTAGAGCTAAATAACAGCACCGGACACTGAGAGTTAGGACTGGTAGCTGTAAACAAATTTTATGGGACTGTGGGAAACTTGGCCATGCCCATGAAAAATGGACATCTTGCTAACTAAAATCACTTTGGACAATGGATGTTTCTGGATGAGAGGGTTCTGGATTAGAGAGGTTCAACCTGTAGTAGTGGAAGGGCTTAGAATAAAAGCTCTTCAACACAGATATTTAATTATCATCCTGTGACACCTGGCCACACTTAACTGTATTCATCAGCGTAAGTAGTAACCAAACCTAAGTTATCTGGATGAGCTGATAGGGATTTACGTGCAGATAATGAGTGAAATAGCTCAACACAGGAACTGTTTAAAAAATCTCAAGGATCTTGAACCGCAAAACTGCTTTTTAATAAAGTGAGAAAAATTATACAAAAGTGAATGTATAAGTGAATTCTCCTCTGTGGAAGAGAATTCTGGGTTGTGTTCATGCATAATTACATGCATTAGAATGGTACCAAGAACTTTCTATTTTCGTGGAACGAGGTGAACCGGTAGTTCGGAATAGGAAGCCTAATCCGAACTACCTAGTTCGTGCCGCGTGTAGCCACGGGCACGGAGTCCGAACTAGTGGACATTTAAAAATGGCGGCGCCCGGCAATATGCAAATGAAGCCTGGGAAATTCAAATCCCGGGCTTCATATGCAACTCCGGTTGCCTACATTAACCACCCTCGTTCGAACTAGGGTGGTAGTGTAGACATACCCTATATAGACACCGAAAGGCAAGCAAAACCAAGGTTGCCAGAAAACAACATGGTGAAGAGCTGTGGAAGCAGAACTGAAAACCTGGCATAGCTAGGAAACCACTGAAAGACGTATCATAAACAGTCAGTAGTAGAGGAACTTTGTTGTTCCCCTAAGTTCCAGAAGCATAATGGGAACATAATGAAGATGATGATGAACCTCCTAACATGATACAGTTTATAATAGCTGTTTTCTTTCAGTACTTTTGGCATTTGAATGGATATGAATTGTTCGGATTCTTTCATAATGTAATTTCCATTAGCATTTTTAAAAATACCTGTTCTTAAATGAATTTCATATTCTTTAAATACAGTAAACTTATCACAATGTCTAATTTTCATATGTCTCTTATCCTAATTGAAATTGGTTCATTTTATAGATGTATTGTCCAGTTTAACAAAACAATGAGGCTGTGTCTACACTGGCACGATCTTGCGCCAAAGCGGCTGCTCTTGCTCAAAAACTTGTATCCTGTCTACACTGGCCGTGTGTTTTTGTGCAAGTAAACTGACATTCTGCATTATAAAATTAGAGCTTCTTGCGCAAGAACTATAATGCTCCCATTCAGGAATAAGCCCTCTTGCGCAACGGTTCTTGCGCAAGAGAGCAGTGTAGAAAGGCAACATTACTTTCTTGCGCAAGAAAGCCCTATGGTTAAAATGGCCATCAGAGATTTCTTGCGCAAGAGAGTGTCTACACTGGCATATGGATACTCTTGCACAAAAGCACATCTCTTGCGCAAAAGCACATGCCAGTGTAGACGCTCTCTTCTGGAAGAGTTTTTGCACAAGAACTCTTCCACAAAAGAGTTCTTGCGCAAGAAGCTGCCAGTGTAGACGTAGCCTGAGTATTTGTTTGTTTCTTCTAGCAAATAAAGCTGCTGAATTTCCAAAACCCACTCATCCTTCAAATTATGCAGGAAATCAAGTTCCTTACGGATATCCTCAGTATGCACCTCAAACTTTCCAAAGTAAGTTATTTGACTATGATCTGACATACAAATTAACCGATCAGTTTTGTCCTCAGAAAAAATAGTTTGGGTTCCATGACGGCAGCTACATGTGAACTAATTTCTCTGCTATTAATCTTCTAGGATTAAATTTTTAGACTGTACTTTGTAGGAAAGATTAGGCTACTTCTATACTGGTACGTTCTCATGCAAAAACTCTTTTGCATAAGAATTCTTCTGCAATAACTCTTCCAGAAGAGAGCGTCTACACTGGCATGTGCTTTTGTGCAAGAGATGTGCTTTTGCGCGAGAGCATCCATGCCAGTGTAGATGCTCTCTTTCTCAAGAAAGATCTGATGGCCATTTTAACCATAGAAAGTCATGGTTGCGCAAGAAAGTCATGTTGCCTGTCTACACTGGCCTCTTGCACAAGAACAGTTGTGCAAAGGGGCTTATTCCTGAGCAGGAGCATCAGAGTTCTTGCACAAGAAGCCCTGATTTCATACATTAGAACGTCAGTTTATTTGCGCAAGAACACGTGGCCAGTGTAGACAGGCAGCAAGTTTTTGCGCAAGAGCGGCCAATTTTGCACGAGATCGCGCCAGTGTAGACACAGCTTCAGTGTTTTTCCTTTATTTGGTATTAGTGTAATAACATGCTACTCTAATCTATAAAGGAAAATCAAATAGAATCTCCTGTCTGTAGGAAAACCCTGTTGTAGGGGAGATGGCAAGGCCGATGGTGCAGTTGTAGAAGTAGCTTATGCATGGCTAGGGTGAACAGATGTTTGATTTTTCAACTGGAACTCCCAACCAAAAAGGGACCCTGAGCCGTTGATTGTCCAGTTGGCAGATCTGCGCAGCAGGACTGTCAGGCTTGTGCACAGCTTCCATGAAGCAGCAGCATGGTTTTTGGTTCCTTGGCTTAAGGGTGGTTGGAGGGTACATGTTTTGTCTTATTCCCTATCTGCAGGCATTGGCTGGGTCAGGCAGGGGACAAACTAGCACCATTCACGAGCACTCAGCCGGCTACTGTTGAGGGGTTGTTGAGGCATGTATCTCTCCTGCTGCTGTCAGACTTTTTCTCCTCCTGTCGCTTCTCGCTGGGGCTGCTGGGCTCAAGCTTCGGTATGTGCCCTGTGGCAAACCTCAGTCTGTTGTCCCATCATCGGCATCCAGGAGTCCAAGGTATATGTATTCTTGGCCTCAAGTGCTGGGAATAGGGCTGTACCCCCATCCCTGCATCCCTCTCCATCCCACCCCTCATACCATCGACTTCCTATCCCATCCCCCACACCTCATCCTCCAATCCCTGCATCCCTCCCTGTCCCAGTCTCCCTGCTCCCACCCCTTCTTATCTCAGCCCTACACCACTTGCAGCTCTCTCCACCCTCCGAGCCACCATCCCTCTGTTCTTCATCCTCCCACAACCCTGCACCCATTCACCTCCATACACTGCTGCTCTCCCATTATGTCAAAATATCTTCATATCCTCAGGCATGTGTTGATTTCTGTCTTCCCTGCGTCCTCTCCCACCCCTCATACCTCTCCCAAACTCCTTCCTCTCTCCTCTGCCTCCTCTTGCTCCCACCTGCTCTCATCCTTGGCTTCTTTTTATGTGTGTAAGAGACTCTCTTTATATGGGGAAGTGCATATGAGTGTACCTGTGTGAATAAAATTTGTATCCTAAATCCGATTTTATTCCTTTTGCTGGTTTACACGTAAAAATATTATGACAGTTTAGTATAGTGTTTAATAGCTCTCCTTGAGATGAAGGGTATTTGAATCACAGATTCCATCTCCCACATTCAAACTGTTGCAGCTCGTGGCTGCCTCTTGGTGCCCTTTTTCCTTGTAGTGAAAATGAACAGGTGAACAGGAGAGAGGAGGAAAGAAGGGGGACGGGAAGTGGAGCAAGCAGGAGTGTAGCCTTAGGGTAGGGGACAGGGCAAAGGAGTTTGATTTTCTGGAATTAGAAAGTTGACAACCCTATATAGCAGCTCTTACTTTTAAACTCTTCATCTTAGTTGATAGTCTCTCTTAAAATCAAAGTATTTTATTAGTTTTCTTCAGCAATTCAGAACTGGAGTTAAAAATGGGAAAATCATAGTACTTTTACAGTCTTAGCTTCTTTCTGTCTGAATATCCTTCTGTTTTTTCGTTCTTTGGCTAGGTCTATACTGCAGGTTTAAATTAGAAAAAGATACACAATTTGCGGCACACAAATTGTGTATCTTTTTCCGATTTACTTTCAAAAGAGGCTTTTTCAAAATTTGGCGCGTGTACACAGTGCCACATTTCAAAAGAAAGTGCTCTTTTAACATATCCCTTATTCCTCGTAGAATGAGGTTTACAGTGCAGTGTGAGTTTTTTTGAAAAATTTTTGAAATAATGCCACGTTCCTTGGACATGGCATTGCATTTTTGGGATACCTAAGGTAATCTAGACGTAGCCATTGTTGCCCTTTCTTCCAGACTGTCCCTCTTTGCTGAGTGACCTCTCTCTGTACATTCAAATCTTTCCTCCAGAACTCACTACTTAAAATAACCAAAACAAAACCAAAAACAAAAAAACCTTTAAGTCCGTGGTCCCCAACCACTGGAGGTTGCCGGGCGCCAGGGGGCGTGGCCGTTCACCCGCCGAGCACCAGAGGGCAGGGACACTTGCGCGCCCGGGGCCGGAGCTCGCTCTTCCCCCCTCCCCCCCCAAGTGCCGCGCGCCCGGAGCCGGAGCTTCCCTTCCCCCCAAGTGCCACGCGCCTGGGGCCGGCGCCCCCTCCAAGCGTCGTGCTCTCTGGGCCGGCGGCCCCTCCAAGAGCCATGCGCCCAGAGCTCGGGCAGCCAATCTGCAGCGCTCCCGGGGCCGGCGCTCACCTTGAGTCATGCCGGGACCGGCACCGGCACCATGCATGTGCCACGTGCCCAGGGCCAGGCCAGCCCCGAGCACTTGGCGAGCGCACACAAATGCCCCCGCGGGCACCGTGTTGGGGACCACTGCTTTAAGTAGTACTTGCTGAAATCTGAATTTTTGACATTTTTATTTATCTTTTTTAAATGTAAGAAAGCCTCAACTTGAACCCTCACACTCAATGATATTGTGTGTAGCTTAGGTATGGAGTTATATTTATCCTGTATTTGCCTGTGCTTTTTACCTTTTGGATTTTATGTGCTCTGTGGCAGAGCAACATTTGCTTTTACATTCTGTAAACACCATATGCATCTGGCAAATGACATGATTATGCATTATGAGACTAAAAAAAGGGTATTCGTTTTAGAACAAGAAAAATTAAATTCTGAGTTCAAGGTAGTTGATCTTCCACTTTTTGAGCCTGATACTAAGTACACACATTATCATAGTCGTAATCGCTAAGAATCTTCTCTATAGATTGTAATTATTTGCTATCAGATGTACTATAATCCACAAGTTCACTGGAAAAGATGCCATTTTCAAGTTGTATAAAAAGATGTGCAAAACATTTATGGTGGATCAGCTGCCACGAAGGCTGTGTTTGTGCAAAATATCTTTTGCAAACTCTGCAGTGCATGAATAGCTCTGCATGAACATCCTTCATAGTTTCAGTATAATGCTTGTTTCATTGTAGAAGAGGCAGCTTAAACTTTTACTTTCTGTAGGTGGAGGAACTTGTATCAGCTTGATGTTAGATTCATGTTAAAATTGAATGTTGTTTAGTTCTTAGATGTAACTTTCATGAACATTGTACACATTTGCTCAATTTTATCTTTATAAATAAATCTTTATATACTATCAGCATTGCTATGAATAACACATTCATAGCAGTGTAGAATCTGTAGTGTAGAATTTACATTATAGATAGAGAGATCTTAATTCAAGAACATAAATATATACTGTGTGCGCCATCTAGTGGGCCTATCACAGTGTTAATAGTTAAAGAGCATGAATTGAATCTGATTTTATACTGAGTTCTGTATAGGCAAAAACATTGGAGATTGTACATTTAATATAACTGAAATCACTATTCAGTTGTTTAATTCTTTCCGCATATGTATGTACAGTATGACAGACTTCTTGACCCTCTTTATTTAGACAAAACTAAATATATGGGAGTCTAGTATGGGTACGTCCACACTGCGTGACTATTTTGGGATGCCAGAGGTCTTAACAAGCCACCTGTTATTTCAAAATATTTTCAAAATAACAGGCGCGCATTTTTGCCATCCCTGTAACTCTTGTTCCACGAGAGTTAAGGAATGTCTCGGCTGTTTGCCTTTTTTCAAAATTTGGCACTGTGTAGGTGTGCCAAATTTCAAAATAGAATCAAAATAAGATACACAATTTGCAAATTGCCTATCTTATTTCAAGTTTAGGATGGTAGATGCACCCTAAGTGCCCCATACTTTTTTATCTTGAAAACTGCAGATTGACTTTTATAGACACATACTATCTCTAAAATAAATGCAAATAAATAACTATAGACCATCTTTTTCTAAAAGTTCTCAAAGCAGCTATTTACAACATGGCAATCTTACATCCATTTATCAATTACTTTTCCGTGTTCAAATCTACTCTATTTTCATTTGCTGTATTTTCTTTTCATATTGGTGTAAAATATCTGGTTCTAACAATAATAAACAACATGTAACTATTGTATAGATGTCAAATGGATTTACAAAGGAGGTCAGTATCATCCCAATTTTACTGGTAGGGAGGTGAAGTTGCTTACCTAAGGTCAAGCCATGCCAGTTGCAGAGGTAGAGATAGAAACTAGATTTTTTTTTTTTTAGTCCCTCTCAGTACTCTGTCTTCTGGTGGCTTCCCTGTAAATCCTGTTTACAGTTTATGACTGTGTACACATAAGTAGTATTGTTTTAAGTATGCCAGTATAGATGGAGCCACACAGTGTACCAATACAGATTGTTGATAAAACAAGCACTGCTACAAGCTAAGAAGCAGTTTTTCAGAAAAGGACCTGGGGATTACAGAGGATGAGATGCTGGATATGAGTCAACAATGTGCCCTTGTAACCAAGTAGGCTAATGGCATATTGGGGTGCATTAGTAGGAACATTGCCCATAGATCTGGAGAAGTGATTATACCCCTTTATTTGACAATGGTGAGGCCACACCTGGAGTATTGTGTCCAATTCTGGACACCCTCCCCGCCCCCAATTGAGAGAGGATGTGGACACATTGGAACGAGTCCGGTGGAGGACAACAAAAATTATTAGGGGGCTAGAGCACATGACTTACAAGGAGGGATTTGGGTTTTAGTCTACAAAAGAGAAGAATGAGGAGAGGATTTGATAGCCTTCAGCTACCTGAAGGAGGGTTTCAAAGAGGATGGGGAGAGGCTATTCTCAGTGGTGACAGATGACAGAATGAGGAGCAATTGTCTCAGGTTGCAATGTAAGAGGTCTAGGTTGGATATTAGGAAAAACTGTTTCATTAGGAGGGTGGTGAAGCACTGGAATTGGTTACTCAGGGAGCTGGTAAAATCGCCATCCTTAGAGGTTTGTAAGTCCCTGCTTGACAAAGTACTGGTTGGGATGATTTAGTTGGTATTGGACTCTGACTTCCTGAGGTCTCTGTTGTTCTGTGATATTATGACTGGGACAGAGAGAATCAGCTTTGTAGAATGGAGTGGGAATAATGCCCTTTATATGCTCCAAACATCCAGAAGAAAGGTAAGGAGAAAAGGAGTTACTGTGTCAGTCGAAGAGCCACAAAATAATAGTTAAGCAGTGTCTTGGACATTAATGTGATGTTTGAGGCCTGGAGTTGGAATGGTTGAAGTATTTCATTATTGGAATGTGAAAGTAGCAAGAGTGGTGGTATCTGTTTGTAGCTTTGTGATCTCTGTCTATTTACTTTGCTATTGTAGTGAGTGGGTTTCCAGCTTTCAGAGGTTGAGGATCACTGAACTGAATTATGGGTGAGCTTGGAAGGATTAGATTGTTATAATTAAACATCAGTTTCACCATACACACACTAACTGATGAAGAAATATTTCCATGTATAATAATAGAAATGCAGAGATAAGCAAAGTAAGAAAAATGCTTCTTGAGAACTTCTTGAAGTATGATTTAAGGATATTTACTCTGAATATTTTGATGTGAAGTTTTCAATTTGTGTTTTAATGGTATAAAACTTTTACTTTTAGATCTCAAAATCTACTGTCATTTAAATAATTATCTAACCTCTCCCGAGTGTCCCACAACTACCAAAAATTTAAGTAGAATGAAATAAAAAAGCTACAGTCCATAATTTTGCATAACTGTGAAAATGCAAAGTAATAATTGTAAAATGCTTAAACTAAATGCCACTATTGTTGACATTATAATCGATTTCTGACCAACCTAATTATGTAATGTAGTTTCAATATGAGGCTTTAATAGTTGTAAATGGTTGAACTTCAGAAGTGCATTTATTGAAACTATGCTTTTAATGTCTAACTGTCAGAATTTTGTGTTTTCTTTGTTTCTCTTCCCACAAACTAGATGCTCCTGGACAACCTAATTATGCCTTACAGGGTTACCCAGCAGGAGCTTCATATGGACCTCTAGTCCAAAATCAACCTTCTGGGCCCAGTGGTGGGGCAGCTTGGATGCCAGCACCTCCTCCCCCTCTTAATTGTCCACCTGGATTAGAATACCTAACTCAGGTACCTATGTTCCTCTACATTTTAAGGCCCTAAAAAATAGAAAGCTAATAGGTATAGCAGGGCTCGACAAACTATAGAATCTACTCGCCCGCGGTGAGTAGATTTCAGCCGTGCACCCCGATTACCAGCGGCGTGCGCATGCGCAATGCAGCTCTTGCGCATGCACATGTGCAGTGCGGGGCTGGCAAGTGGCTTTCACCGCCGTTTGTCAAGCCCTGGGTATCGGAGTACTTAGGTACCCTTTTATCTACTCTGAGAAATCAGGTGGCTTTGATTAGCACTGGAGAATCAGAGCCATTTATATTTTGGTCAGAGATTAAAAATGTATCTCAGGACCATCGTAATTGAAGCATACTACCATGTTATGGCTGCACAGTGGCTCATTTTGAAAAGAACTTTTGGTCACAGTTTTACAGCAAGAAAGTGTTTGTGGTAATGCAATATCTTCTATTGGACCAACTTCTGGTGGTGAGAGAAACAAGCTTTATCTCACCCACCTTGTGTGTTTCATACCCCGGGGCTGGCATGGTTGCAACAACACTGCATAATCCCAGTTTTAGCAGATGTGTCCACCACTAATTGACATCTTACTTGGCAGTGTTAGCTGAAAATTTAAGATTAAATGAGACTGGGCACTGTTCTACTGTACTTTTTTTGTTTGTTTGTACCAGAAATAGTGAATCCAAGTAGTGGTAGTATGGTGTGGCAAAAACTTATATTACAGTATGGCCATCAGTAGGACATCAGACTTCATGATTTTCAACATGGTACTTTTTCTGAGCACTAGCATTCATTCTTCTTCGAGAGACGTCTCTACAGGGAATGCTCCACAGCAGGTGTCGGTATATTCCAGTGCCGCAGAGTGGATTCTTCTTACCAATGCATTAGGGCCTCACATGCACAGTGCGTGAGGCGCATGGTGCCATTCAGCACTATCCTGCCTCCTTCCTTCAGGTCCTCCATACTGAGCCCAGCTCAAGACAGTGCTTTTCGTTCCTCATTAGTTCTCTGTAGATAGATAGATTAGTTAATTCCAAGTTCATTTCCCTAGTTCTTCATTAGGTTCTTAACAAAACCCCTGCTCCAAAATACGCTGTTCGCCTAAGTTGGTTCTTCTGCCATTTAAGCTCACCAGGTTTTAAACGCTACACGGATTGTCACAATGCAGTGCCGGCTTCAGATGGCCACACTAAATGTGTCAAGTGTCTTGGGGACTCCCACGTTCAAAGGGACTGAACACACTGCGCTAAACTTAAGAAGTGGCTGCGGAGAGTCAAACACCTCTGTTTAAAAATGCTCAGTCCTGGGCTCTCAGCAGATTAATGATAAGGGGGGCAAACCAAAGAAATCCCTGAAGAAATGGGCCTCCTCTCTCCCACAAGATCTACACTCACCTAAATGGCCTTTGACTGAGAGGCATGTGACAAAAGCTGGCAAATCATGCCTCAGCACATATGATAAGCCAAGCACCTCTTAGCAGTTTGAACATTTCATTAGCGATTTACAGTCAGGCCCTACTCAATAGCTGAGGGCAAGAAATTGCATTTCCACACACTTGTTTTAGCCTGAGGCCCGTCTGCATGCTTGCCAGCACCTGACTTTAACAGGGCCTAGACCTCTTAGCTAGACTTATGTCAAGCCAGGGAAGGTCGTGCAGACTCCTCCACAGCCCATGCACACTCCATAAGAGTGGTCGCCACTTTGGTCACTTACCTGAGGAAGGTTCCCATCAACGACATATGTGTTGCTGCTACATGGACATCAGAACAATCTTTTTCCAGACACTATGCACTTTCTACCGGTCCTCTTCACCTTACGAGGGTAGCAAAGGCCACACTAAAGACAGCTTACCTTCCTGATCTGAAGTGCCTACCTCCGTAAGACAAATTGCTTTGCAGTCATTAGCTGTGGAGCACCCCTCAGGATCATTTCTCTTGAAGAAGAGGAGGTTAATCACCTTACTGTAGCTGACTTCTTCAAGATGAGCATCCCTGGCGGTGCTCCACTACTTTCCCTTCCTCCCCTCTACTTAAGACCAAAACCAAAAAAACCCACATCAGGTTCTGGATAGAGAAGGAACTGAAGGGAGGATGGCCGTGCATGCGCAGTATTGTCGAATGGTACCGCACGCCACACACACACCGCGCATGCGTGGGCCAAATGCACTTCTAAGAAGAATCCGCTCTGCGGCGCTGGGACGCACCGACACCTGGTGTGGACCATCTCCTGCAGGGACGCTCATCTCAAAGAACATCAGCTACAGCCAAGGTGAGTAACCTCCTCTCCCCTTCTCCATCTCCAAGTATTTCCAAATAATATAGGACACAATAGAGCAGCTTGCAAAATTGGTATCTTAGTGTTTGAATGATCTTGTTGATCATCACGAGTGAACATGTGAGTGAGACACTATTTCTATAGCGTAATTATGTAGATTATCTAACATAATTATGAATTGATCCATAATTTTGCAGCCTGAAATCAAATTTTTGAAAACGGATATCCTTGTTGATTTTATTTTAAAAATTTAATTATAACTTTCATTTATTGACTTCCTTTCTAATCTGTTTTTAACCACTGTAACAGATTGACCAGATATTAATTCATCAGCAGATTGAGCTTCTGGAAGGTATATATCATGCCATATTATTAAATGGAAGATTATTATACTGTAAATATATTAAATGACCGATCCTATTTGAAGACTGTTAAAAAGTAATCTTATTTAATTATAACAGTTCATTTCTTTATTGCATTTTAAAGACAGGGTCTTTATCAGAACCCTAACATAATATATTTTGGGAAGGAGAGTTGGGGTGGCACAGATTCTTAAAATATTGCTTGTTTGAGTATCTCAGACTTAAAATATTTATTTGAGCTTTTAAAATACAAATTGATATGTAAAAATGTGACATTTTCTAATTTAAAAGTGTAATCATTTTACATTTAAGCTCGCTTATTCATGTGATTTCAACTATCATCTTTACAGATCTCCCTCTCTACTTCTGACCTGTCTAATTCCATCTAATTCAACATCTTGACCTAACTTTCTGATATCTCCTCCTGGAACTTTCATGACTGACTGATCTTTTCTCCCAAACTCTTTCCACTATGCTTACTCTTTGCCTTATTTGGCAACATCCTAAACCTGATGGCACTCATGCTTTTAATATTGATGTTGTTGCCTTCTCCCTCTATAACCAGGCTATGCCCACATTTTGCAGCTTCCCGCCCCATAACATTTCTAAGATCCATTTCTCTTTTTTTCAGGCTCTCATCATTTCCTATCTCAGTTATTGTTTTTAACACTTCTTTTTCTTACTGTCAGGCCCATTTACAACTCTGTCCCTCTTTAGCAATCTTCTTTTGTTTCTTATTGCATAGCTTCCCACTGCCACATCCACTGTGAGGGTGGTGTCTGTCTTGTCTGCTCATTTGCCATTGCTCACACAAACATCTCTGTTGCGTCTCACTCATGGAACACCCTCTCTGAACTGATTATAAGGCCTTCTCCATCCTGCAATACCGTAAATCTCACCTGGATCAGAATATCTAAAGAACGCACAATTCAAATTAAGGATGTTAAGAAGCAGGTAATTTGCTAATCATGTAGTTGATTCCATACAATTTCTATTGACTACACAATTAGTTGATAAGGGAGGCACTCTGTCCCAGCTCGCGCCAGGTCCTGGAGCTACCCTTACTGCGGCTTTGCAGTTTAAATGTAGTAGGAGCCGGGTGCACAGGCAGCCTGGCTCCTGGTATATTTAAACTGCAGAGCCGCAATGGGGGTCACTCCCAGGACCAGCATGAGCTGGGACTCCAGGACAGCTGTGGCTCTGCCTCCCCTGCTGCCTCCCCGCACTACACTGTGGACACGATGCTGGGGGTAGCAGGCTTTTAAAAGGCAGTAAGCAGTGAAAGCAAATAGTCGAGTAGTCACTCAGCTACCGATAAGCCTAGGCTTGTGGAGTAGTCGGCTACTCGACTAGTGGCTTAATCCCTAATTCAAATTAGTTTGAAGAGCAAATTGGAGTAGTTAGCAATTTATTCATAAGGAAAAAAAATACAATTACAAATAATGTATGTCTCTCTTATATTTCTTCCTGCTTGTATGTTTATAATGTTATTAGATTGTAATGTCTTCAGGGGAAGGTCCGTGTTTTTCTATGCGTATGTCTACACTTTCAACCTCTTTCGAGAGATGGATGCAAATGAAGACATTCGAAATGGCAAATGAAGCCGGGATTTAAATATCCCACGCTTCATTTCATATTCGTGTTATGGCACTATTTCAAAATACCGTTATTTCAAAATAACAGATGCTGTTAAGATGCAGTTATTTCGAGAGAAAACCCTTCTCTCAAAATAACCCTTATTCCTCATACAATGAGGTTTACCAATTATTTCGAGAGAAGGGTTTTATCTCGAAATAACCGTGTCTATTTTGAAATAGTGCTGTTTCGAAATAGTTCCATAACTTGAATATGCAAATGAAGCACAGGATATTTAATTCCTGGCTTCATTTGCAATTTCGAATGTCTTCATTTGCATCCCTCTCTTGAAAGAGGGTGCAAGTGTAGACATACCCTATGTGTTTATATAAGAATTAGTACAGGTGAGTCCCTGATGATGATAGGGAGCTGTGCTATGTCTATTAATACTTGTAATTAGTGAATCAACTAAACACCTTTTTAATGTTAATTTTCAGCTCTTATCGGTTTTGAAACTAACAATAAATATGAACTCAAAAACAGCTTGGGGCAAAGAGTGTATTTTGCAGCAGAGGAAAATGACTGTTGTACTCGAAATTGTTGTGGACCGTCACGACCTTTTACCATTAAGATTGTTGACAATATGGGTCAAGAAGTAATAACATTGCAGAGACCTCTCAGGTGCTCTTCATGTTGTTTTCCTTGCTGCTTGCAAGAGGTGAGACATTCTTTTCTCTTTCCTGCACCTTTAAAAGTTTCCAGAGATTTTCTTTTGTGTCAAGAGGTGAGATGGAACAAAATAAGTTCTTCGTAATTTTTTTTGTTTGTTTTTGTTCTTTGAGGGTTTTTGGAAATGTCTCATGACTTTTGTCTGCTCTTTGACAAAATTTCTTGACATTTTGCTATGGACTCTGCTGTATTCTTCCTGGAAGTGGCCTAAATTCCTAAAAACATAAGTGATATCCCTGGAAAGTGGGTACTCAACACTAATTAGAAATGGACCCTAATGAGGCACCAACTTAATTCAAAATCTTGATTATTATAAATAAACTTAGCTTTTTGAATATTGATAAGTAAAGGAAGACAAGAAATTACCAGGTTCATAAACCATTGACCTGACACTCATTGTAGGGATTTGACTCTACTAATTGATGTATAGTTGTTGCCTGATCTTTTTAATGATTGATAATAATTGTATTTATTGCCAGTAGGTTTCTTGTCCCAGAATCAGGCTTCACAGAACTAAAACTTACAAGTTCATTATCTTATAGAGAATCCCAAGGTGTATGGCAAAGTACAATGAGGACAAAGCTAATCCTTAGCCACTTATCTTTATGGATTATTTTAATAAAAGAAAGTGCCAAACCACATAAACAAGTAGTAGTAATACAGTAGTAATACAGTATTAGGGATATTTTTAATGTCATTCTTGCACAGGGGTGGGCAATAAAAAACCCACAACCTGCAGGGTTAGTTAGGGGTGGGCAATAAAAAACCCACAGCCTGCAGGGTTAGTTCCTGGTGGGTCACTACCACTATGTGTATCTGCGCCTCAGCAGATACTGCCATTCATGGCCAATGCAAGTGGCCAGCCTGCAGGGTTAGTTCCTGGTGGGTCACTACCACTATGTGTATCTGCGCATCAGCAGATATTGCCATTCAGGGCTAGTGCAAGTGGTGGGAAGCACCACGGACCGGGACGCCACTTCCCACGGCTCACATTGGCTGTGAAAGGCGTTTTGCGGCCAACCAGAGCTGTGATCCTCCGATACCTGCGGAGGCACAGGTAAGCACGGAGGTGGGGGCCTGCCAGGAACTAACCCTACAGACTGGATCTGGCCCATGGGCTGGAATTTTCCCACCTCTGTTCTTGCATATGATTATATACTTACACCCTTGGGGACCTTGTGATCAGAGACATGCCAAATGAATCCGATGTTCCAGAACCACAACGGTCACTCATCAACTCTTCATCTCTTTCAGTTATGAGTGATGGAAAGCTTACCCCTACCTACACGATGGCATTGTTATTATAGAGCGAGAGCATTATCATGAACACTCAATCAGATGCCCACCCTTCCATGTCCAAATCTTACTCCTTGCCTTCCTAATATTGGAGGGCCTTATCCTTGTAGGTAGACATATTAATGTCTTTTAGCTCATTATCATGTATGTCACCTATTGCTAAAGCAAGTTTGTTTAACATCTATCAGTGATTCTATCCTAAGTACCCAATCCCAATATCAGTTCGTTCAGCATTCCTTTGGCTTTCTGGTGTCAGTATTTACCATCTCCTTCTCTTGGGCAAGCTATTCTCAGTTCCCCAAAATCTAGGGTAACTGTTGGGCCATTTTATCTGGGCTCAGGGTCATAGGCCTGTGACCAGATGTCTGGGATAGGTCCACTGAAAATGGCACACTCAGTGCATACTGCAATAAATAGGACACATGGTATCCCAAAACAGGAGGTTTATTTTATAATTAGATTCACCAAGCCAGTAACAAAAGAGCTGCTTTCAGTACCGTACTGGTTAAACAGAAGCCAAACACAGTCCCCTTTAGGCATTCCAGCCCCTGGCTCCCTTTCAGACAACCCAATCTAATATAGTGAGAGGTTATTGAAAACCCATTTCACCATATACAGTAAAACTCCATTAGTCTGCCATCCAATGCTCCGGGACTCCTGATGGTCTGGCACCATCAGGAACCCGGAAGTGCTGGGGCAGCCGGATAGGCTTCCCCCATTCAGCTGCTGCTGAAACTGACCAGCAGCTGAATTGGGGAA